ATTCTCTGCACAGTGATTCCTGCTAATATCAATCGAAGTTTCCCATTTTAACACTGGAAGCATATAGCCTAGGATAATGGAGTATAGTCCTTGAAATATTTCCTGCCTTTCTCAGCAGTAGAACAGGTATACAGAACTATCATTAAACAAAAAGATAAATTTCCCAGGTTTCCTTGAAGCTGGGTGTGACCGTATCATTCCTCTTTCCTGCCTTTTGTGATATAATATGGACATAATGAGCGGTCACCTTGTGAACACACAGTGTAAAAGTCATGCATTGAACTTGACTGTGTAAAACATTAAATGGAGGCTGGTTCTTCAATATCTATACCAATTCTTGAATGCCTATGTTTCTGTGAACGATAAATAACTTCTTTCTTTTAGACAATTGTTATTTTGCATTTTCCCTACCCCATAAACCTAATCCCAACCAATAGAATATCGGCTTTCTGTCACTTGGAAACAAAAGAGTTGTAACTAATATATCACCTTATTCATTTATAATCACAAATGTCTTCTGTTTCCACTTGTTATATAAGTATATGTAATAGAAATGACTAATATTTTTGCCTTCTGTTAGTTAATATTTGCCATTTTACTTAAGCCAAAATTCATTATCTCATTCCAAATTGACCCATCCTAAAACTGATTGCTTCTGACAGTAGTGATGCATTTTGTTCTGACAGCTATAAACGAAATTTGGATATACTGAATACAGTGTCTTTATTCTCTGCACAGTGATTCCTGCTAATATCAATCGAAGTTTCCCATTTTAACACTGGAAGCATATAGCCTAGGATAATGGAGTATAGTCCTTGAAATATTTTTTTACATGAAATGAAATGACCCTGTTTTAGCACAAGATTTGCACATTAAAACACAAGTTTAAAAAAAAAACACACAAGTTAAAATTATAAGTAGAAGATACTATATTTATCTAAAGAAAGTATTATATAAACAATTGTTTTTCTTTATATCATTTTCTGTATGTTCAAATTATTTAAATCACTTTTTCTTTAAGTAGAAAAAAATCATTTGCTGGAGGCCCATACAATAAGTCTAATTTTCCATCAGTGTGTCTCTTTTTTATCTAATTAGATATGTGTGGCTGCTACTCCCTCAAAATTGATTCGTATCATCTTCTCTATCTATATACTCATATAGCTGGAACAAACTTTTTATACCTTTCCCCAAGAATTAATAATCAATCAGAACACTTTCATAAATCAGGAACTTAAAGACAAAAGGTCATGTTGTTTGTCCAAGATAATATTGATTGGGAATTTTTTGTTTCCTGGAATTGCTACTAGAGCATTCAGGTAAAAGAAAAGCAGGGACATCAATTATGTACACTGTAAAGAAAGTCACTTGTAACTTGTAAAGAGACATATATTCTCTTCCAAGTCTTCCTAAGAGGCAGAAGTACTGGCCCTGTCACAACCTCCTCCTGCTCACAATTGTGGGCCACAACACTAAGGTCAGAAGATTTAGAGGTCCTCGCCAATCTGCTGCTAAGTACCATATGTTTTAGGAATGAAAATTCCTTTCTGGGTAAGCAAGAAAAGTAGAGGGGTGTTTATGTTCTAGAAGGCAAATGAGGAGAGGTAGTGAGAATCATTTCCAGAGACTAAATGCTGCCTTAAATAGATATCTGCTCTGCCTCTGGGGCCAGCTGGAGTGGGCACTGGGTATAAAGGGGGAAAACACAAGACAAAACTGAAGAGAGATCACAGAGGGAGGGAGAACGAGGGAACAGCCCTTACACTGACATGCTTCACGATTTGGTAAGGAAGAGCTGCTTGAGTTTCCTCTGGTTAACTAGGTATCTCAGAGAATCAGTTCAGTTCAGTTCAGTCGCTCAGTCATGTCTGACTCTTTGTGACCCCATGAATCACAGCACGCCAGGCCTCCCTGTCCATCACCAACTCCCGGAGTCCACCCAAACCCATGTCCATGGAGTCAGTGATGCCATCCACCATCTCATCCTCTGCCGTCCCCTTCTCCTCCTGCCCCCAATCCCTCCCAGCATCAGGGTCTTTTCCAATGAGTTAACTCTTGGCATGAGGTGGCCAAAGTATTCGAATTTCAGCTTCAGCATCAGTCCTTCCAATGAACACCCAGGACTTATCTCCTTTAGGATGGACTGGTTGGATCTCCTTGCAGCCCAAGGGACTCTCAAGAGTCTCCTCCAACACCACAGTTCAAAAGCATCAATTCTTCTGTGCTTAGCTTTCTTTATAGTCTAACTCTCACATCCATACATGACCACTGGGAAAACCATAGCCTTGACTAGACAGACCTTTGTTGGCAAACTAATGTCTCTGCTTTTTAATATGCCATCTAGGTTGGTCATAACTTTCCTTCCAAGGAGTAATTCTCAGAGAATACCTATGGACAATTCCACTGCCATCCTTCCTGAGATGACGCCTACCAGAAAGTGAGAATTTATAAAAAGCAAAATGCTAAAAAGCATACTGTTGATAGACTTTGGTAAGTAGTGGAACATGTTTAAAAGCCAAGTCTTCCAAATCTGTGAACTGTGTAGGAAGGAGGCTGGGCAAGGTTCTCCAAAGAACTCACTCACCGACCCCATGAGAGAGGCTAACAGAGGGGACGTATGTATGGTGTGGAAGCTGATTTCAAAGATGTCCCTCCCCACCTTGCCTTCTGCCTAAGTGAATGATTTCTCCTGTTTCCCATGCCCTGTGTGCCTCCCTTCTTCACTCAAAGGGGTTAGCCCTCTGTAACGCACAGAATACAGTGGAAGTGACACTGAAAAACTAAGTTCCCCCTTGGTTTCTTGGAATTACTCTGGGGACATCAAATCCAACATAAGAAGGTGAACGATCACAGGTCGGCCTTGCTGTAAGAAAGACTAAGCTAGACACATCAGAGAGAATACACAGCAATATAGAGATGACTTGCCACACTTGTTCAAGTCCTCTCAGTAGAGGTGTCAGACAAATGAATAAAGAAGCCACCTTGAACTTTAACCTCCGCCCCCCACCCCCCAGCAGATGCTATATGGGGAAGAAACAAAAGATACTCAGCAAAGACCAGAGCTATATTCCTGATAAGCGGCACTGATTCAATCAGTCATTTGACTGTTTCCTGGTCATTTGAGCCCTTCTAGTTTCAGCCAATACATACCATGGATTAGACATGAGCCACCTCAGTGTTCTCTACTCAAACTCCTGGTCAAAATAACTGCAGACAACATAAATTACTGTTTTAAGGGACTAAATTTTGAGTTGGGGTTTATTTTTTTATATTTTTTGTTTTGTTTCTGGACTCAGAAATATATAAAAGACAAAAGAGAGGGCTAGCATATGAATGATAATGAACAGAGATTGCCTACAGCCATACTGGTTATTAGCTTTCCTTTTACCCTTAAACTTTCAAATACTCATTATTCTAGTTTGTTTTGTGAATATCTTTGGCAAAATTTTAAGGGGTGCTGTGGTGTATACCTAAAATGTATCATTAATAATAGTGAATATATATTAAACAAGGGTGAAATTATTGACTCAGTACCAATATATCAAGATGTAAAATTATACATTGAGGAGGAAAAATAAACAAAATAACTTATTTATAAGTAATAGTTTTCTAACGTTTACATTTCCCACTCTATAATAACTTCCTAAATTATCAAGACTTTTTTTCACCTTCTTTTAAAATTTTTCAATGTTATTTTGTGTTAAAATACTACCAATATGTATTTGTAATGATATTATAACAGTTACACAGGAAAATTTTTTACTGTATATCATGTTATTTCTCTGACAACTACCAGTAGTGTTCTACAGTCATTGTGATAGCTGATTTAAAATGCCCATACATTATAATGCTTACTAGAAGATGTTGGCTACCCTTTGAGAGGGGCTGAGCTAGAATCTATATGGGGAGGGCTAAGAGAATCCCAGAGCAGACTCTATCCACTGAATCACACACACCTTTTCATATCAAGATTCTGCAGTGACAAGGAGGCAGCCTAGATACACATGGACAGACGGATGGATAAATAAATTGTGATACATATACACAATGGAATATTAGTCAGTCATAAAAAGGAACAGATTTGAGGCAGTTGTGAGGGGGATGAACGTAGAGCTGCCATACAGAGTGAAGTGAGTCAGGAGAAAAACAAACATTGTATATTAACGCACATATATGCAAGCTAGAAAAGTAGTACTCATGAGGGCCTCCCCAGTGGCTCAGAGGGTAAAGCGCCTGCCTGCAATGCAGGAGACCTGGGTTCGATCCCTGGGTCAGGAAGATCCCCTGGAGAAGGGAATGGCAACCTACTTCAGCACTCTTGCCTGGAAAATTCCACAGTACTGATGAACCTATTTAAAGAGAAGAAATGGAGATGCAGAAGTAGACAGTCTGGTGGACACAGCGGGTAAAGGAGAGCCTAGGGTAAACTGAGGAAGTAGCACTGATATATATGAACTCTCGCGTGTAAACCAGAGAACTAGCAGAAGCTGCCATATAACACGGGCAGCCCCGCCTGGCACTCTGAGACAACCCAGACGGTGGAATGGCGGGGAGGCTCCAGAGGGAAGGAATGCAATTAGGACGGATTCGCACTGATATACATCAGTGGCAGAGACCACGACAACACGGTGACGCGATCAACCTCCAGTTAAAGAACAGAAGACTCTGCAGTGGGAAAAAGGGGAAAGAGTAGACATGGCAACACCAGGCGGACGCATAGGTGAGAGAGGAGGTGAGGTTTAAGTCAACTTCGAGTTTAGCATTTTAAGTCAGTGATTATTATAACTGAACATGTAAACATATGAAACCTGTTAAAACGGAGCTTCCATGAAACACAATGAAAAGCAATGACTAGGACAACTGTGTTTGTGTGTGTGCATGTGTGTGTGCAGTTGGGTACTATATTGAAACTGCTCAAAATTGGTCACATTTTTTTATAAGCTTCATTATTAAAATAAAGGTTTGTTCAAAGATACATGGGAATAGTAAAAATAGATTGATTCAGAGTCATTTTAGGCTGTTTATTTTGCCTTACAAGAGAGAAACTTCTGCATTTTAATCACTGCAGAGAAGACAACTACATTTATTGATTATATCAGGAGGTATCAGCATCAGTACTTTACCTACATTATCTTGCAGCAATTTCAGAGAACTCCAGCAAGCAGTCTTTATTATCGCCATGTTGTAGGCTGAAAAAACGGAGACCCAGAGAGCACTGGTAACATGCCCTGGATGACATAACAAATAAATAATTGGTTAATCTGGCATCCAAATGATTGTCCATTTGTCTAAAATGTCTCTCAAGTCATTTCCCACGTTTAATTCTGAAATTTAAAGATCATTCTGGTTTCTCTGAGAGAATTTACTCACATGACTAAAGAAGACATGACAAATTATTTCCTTTCCTGGTACTTTTCCAAAATCTCACCTCAAAAATATAAAAAAATACTTCTTGAAATTTTGGTTTGGGGACCAAAGTTTAAATTTATTCCACTAAGCAATATTGACATCCCATGTTAAAGCATCTTGAAAACACAGCCCTTTAAGTGGAAGTAGTTGTTATTAAGAAAAGTGAAAGTGAAAGTTAGGTAGCTCAGTCATGTCGGACTCTCTGTAACCCCATGGACTGTAGCCTGTACCCGGCTCCACTGTCCATGGGATTTCCCAGGCCAGAATACTGGAGTAGGTTGCCATTTCCTTCTCCATGTTATTTAATATGATAGAGGTAACCATGTTTCCATCAAAATGAAGAGATAATTTAGATACCACCTTAATTCATTTTAATTGCCCCACATGCTCCATACTAAACAGACTGACAGAACACTGTAATCTCACTAGAGGTGAAAGAAAAACACACGCCATTGTTACATGCAGAAAGGACTACACAGCATAAATTATTTAATCAATTCGTGTACGTAACTGGGAAGTTGTGGCCACGTATAACAAAGAATAAAGTAAAACTTGACTTTAATACTTAATGTGCTATTAAATGGCTTTCCACTGGATTAGAAGTATTTCCCTAAGGAACTGACAAATAGTTTTAAATGGAACTCTACAAGGAATTTGCATATGAAGAATGAGATTATATGAAGAATAAGCATAAAATAATTGTTTTCTTTTCTTGAATAGTAACAATGCTTCCTCATTGGTATTAATGAAGTATTCACTGTAGGAAGAAGAAATCCCTACTAAATACTCAAATTTTAACTTAAGCTTTCCTACATTAACAGCAATATTTCTCTAACCTTTCATGTTACACTTTTTAAAAATTTATCCTTAGCTAGAAATAGTAGAACATACATTTCAGATTAAAGTTTTGAGGATTTAAAGATTAAAAGGTACTGGATAACTATAAATAGTACTATTAAAAACAATTACCATTTCAAAGTTAAGAAATGACACTCAGTAAAAAATCTAAAAAAGAGCAAGCTGTCACAAGAACAATTATTTCCAAATAAACATCTTTCAAAGGTTTGACTCATCCAGGTCTCCATTCTCCTTCGTAAGTTTTTCCTTTCCATTCTGCCCCTCATTTACTGTACTGACACCCATCAGTCTCCCTTACTCCCTATCTTAGAATTAAAGGCATATATTGAATTTGGAAACATTACCAATTTAAGCTAAACAATTACTGCTTATTTTATACTGTACTAGTGTAGAAGTGTTTCAGATTTAAAGTGGTATTATTTGATAAGCCCTGATGATGGTTTCTTGATCATTGGTAACAGCAAAGTCCTTCAAGGCCAAGCTTGCATGCTACTCCAGTATCTCTTGACTACCTATTTCTACATCATACAGAATGCCGGGCTGGATGAAGCATAAGCTGGAATCAAGACTGCCAGGAGAAATATCAATAACCTCAGATACGCAGATGACACCACCCTTACGGCAGAAAGTGAAGAAGAACTAAAAAGCCTCTTTATGAAAGTGAAAGAGGAGAGTGAAAAAGTTGGCTTAAAGCTCAACATTCAAAAAACTAAGATCATGGCCTCTGGTCTCATCACTTCATGGCACATAGATGGGGAAATAACGGAAACAGTGACAGACTTTATTTTCCTGGGCTTCAAAAACACTGTAGATGGTGACTGCAGCAATGAAATTAAAAGACTCTTGCTCCTTGGAAGAAAAGCTATGATCAACCTAGACAGCATATTAAAAAGAAGAGATATCAGTTTGCTGACAAAGTTACATCTAGTCAAAGCTATGGTTTTTCCAATAGTCATGGACGGATGTGAGAGGTGGATCATAAAGAAAGCTGAGCACCAAAGAACTGATGCTTTTGAACTGTGGTGTTGGCAAAGACTCTTGAGAGTCCTTTGGACTTAAAGGAGATCAAACCAGTCCATCCTAAAGGAAATTAGTGCTGAACATTCATTGGAAGGATTGATGCTGAAGCTCCAATACTTTGTTCACCTGATGAGAAGAACTGACTCATTGGAAAAGACCCTGATGCTGGGAAAGATTGAAGGCGGGAAGAGAATGGGAAAACAAAGGATGAGGAGGTTGGATGGCATCATTGACTCAATGGAGATGGGTTCGAGCAATCTCCAGGAGTTGTTGATGAACAGGGAGGCCTGACATGCTGCAGACCATGGGGTCAAAAAGAGTCAGACATGACTGAGAAACTGAACTGAACTGAATAAAGTCTCCCATACTTATTTAGATTCTGAAAATACTGAAAAAATGTAAAACTGCACATTAAACGAGATGAAAGAAAACAGAACACTTGAAAGCATACAACTCACAAGAGAAAAGCTCTCTGTGGGAACAATTAGTAAGCAAACAATCCAGCTAAGCATTGGTTTAAAGATCTTAATAGATACCTCACCAAACAAGATGTACAGATGGCAAATAAGCATATGAAAAGATGTTCCACATCATATGTCATCAGAGAAATGCAAATACATTGAGATACTACAAACCTGAACACTCCAGGACATATACAGGACCAAACTCCAGTGATTGTAGGTCAAAAAGAAATCTCATTCATTGCTGATGTAAATGCAAAATGGTAGAATTACGCTGAAGAACATTTGGTGGTTTCTTACAAAACTAAGCATTTTTACTATATGATCCAGCAATAATTCCTCTTGATATTTACCCAAAGTACTTGAAAAGTTGTGGCCATATTAAAAACCTGTATGTGGGTGTTTATAATAGTCTTATTCATAATTGCCAAAACTTGGAGGTAACCAGGATTTACTTTGTAGGTGAATGGATAAACTGAAGGTACATCCAGACAATGGAATATTATTCAGTGCTAAAAAGAATGTCAAGCCATGAAAAGACATGGAAGGAGCTTAAATGCATATTACTTTACTAAATAAAAGAAGCTAATCCTAAATGGCTGCATACCGTCTGAATCACACTATAGGGCATTCTATTACAGAAAAGCAAAACTATGGAGACAGTATTAAAGACAAGTGGCTATCAGGGTTTGAGGAAGTAGAGAAGAATATGGGGAGGACAGAGGATTTTTAGGGTGGTAAAAACACAGCTTATGATACCAAAATGATGGATACACATCTATTCCTTTGTCCAAACCCACAGAATCTGCAACAAAAAACATAAATCTTATTATTAACTATGGACTCTGGATGATTATGATGTTTGTAGGCTCATCAACTGTAGCAAATATGCTACTTTGGGGAGGGTGTTGATAATGGAGGAGATTATGCACATATGTGGGTACAGAGTATATGGAAAATCTCTCTACCTTACTCTTAATTTTGCTGTGAACTTAAAACATCTCTAAAACCTGAAGTCTTAAGAAAAGTGTAAATGTGTGGAAAACATAAAAGAACACTTGTAAAAATATTAAGAAGAAGAAAGAGGAGGCTGAGATGGGGGAGATAAGAATGAGTAGGAGAAGAGGGGAAGGGTAAGACAAGAGAGGAGGCTAAGTGGAGAAGGAGGAGAAAAAGACTAATAAGAAGAAAGATGCATAGCTTCAAAGCTAATAGAAGCAAAAGTTAATCAAAATATGGTGCAATAAAAAGGAGAACATGAAGTGATCAAAGGAATGCTGAGGGGGGAAGAGGCTAATAATGCCTTTGTTTATCTAAAAGAAACAAAATTTAAATTCTCTCAGGGTTTAAATATTGATTTACCCAAGCACTGATATGACTCTTAACTGTAGGATACTGAATGCAATACTGTACTTTCTGCATTCGCTGGCTTGCAACCTTTGACTATGAAAGGATAGTGCTGTTTGGCATCACACGCTGTCCATTTACCTACCTACTGCAATCCGGTTAAATGTATCATGGCGTCAGAACTGATGCCCGCAAGCTTGTCACTCTTGGGGTGTCCTCATGAAGCGTCCAGCAATTCATCAAAATCATCATCTAAGTGTTCCTACTAGTTTGCAGTCATTCTGCCTCTGCTCCAGTTAAGCGTATGATAGACCAGACTCTCTGAATTCACTCGTCCCTCTAGAATTCGCAGTGGTACTTTGACTTCTGACTTCAGTACTCTAATGAAAACTTAACAACTTTCACTTTGTCCAGTATTCCTTGTTTTAAGGATAGGAGTGACATCTTTCACTGGAGCTGAAACAGGCAGTCCTTTTATTTCTATTTTTTAATTCAAGAGTTAGCTTAGGGTTTCCCTGTAAAAACGTTAATATTTTTCCAATATAAAATTTATTATTTTTTAAAAATCAGGTAGATCTTTATCTGCCCAAATGTGCTAAAAGAAGCATACACAGAGAGAAAACATGCATGTTATATTGCTTTGGGGATTTAAAAATCATTTTTTCTTTCCTTTTCCAATTTTGAAAAAGAAAAAGATGTTGGGGGTTAAGATGTAAACAGATTTCTTTTTCTCTCTGCCTTGTCCATCTATCCTCCTCTTTTTCCTACTATAAGATGTTTCTTGAGGTTCATAAAGTATTTGTTGTGGCTCTCCTAATCATTCTTCTCTTATGTGTCAATATATTTTTCTCCAACTTGTAATTATTTCTTTCTAATTTTCAGCTTAGAGCTCTGCCAGAAATCTAGGGGCATTCTTAGACCCACTGTTGCTATTAACAAGGGAAATGTTTTTAGTTCAGAGGTACAACTTCCATTTAAGTAAATGTTGAGTGAGTTAACAGGAAAAAATAAACAAGCAAAAGCAAGAGAAGCTAGTGCGGTAAATCCTAAAATATATAATGCTTGAACTGGATGAAACCTTAGGATAATCCAATCCTCTCAGCTTAAATATGAGCCCAAAAAGAATAAGTGAC